ACTGACAAATATGATGAGGTAGTAGCAATCGGAGCAGGAATAATGGAAGATATCTTTGAAAAAGTGAAGGAAAGGATGAATCAGTTGGGATGGAATTACACACAGAAAGGAAGTGCCCATGAGAAGAGAGGAATAGCAGAATTCAAGTAAAAAGGCAAGGAGTAAGTTGTAAATCGTGAGCAGTTAAGACACCGGCATCACAAGAATGGGAACTTACTGGATGGTGAAGACAAAAATAAGTTGGAAAGCCTGCTGGTAAAGAGCGTTAACCAGTACGTCTAAAATTGAGTAGTTTGAACTTAATGGAGGAGACTACAGGATGAGAATGGAATGTGAAGTAAGTTATTCTAGTCTAGTCCAAGATGGTGGTTAAGGAAGGTAGACAGCAGGTGGTAAGTGAAAGAGGCTAAAAAGGAAGTTTTGCACACCACAGTGACTCAACGAATGTGGGAGCAGAAGAAAGAAGTATAAAAATAACTGCACTTTAAGCAGTGCCTTATGAAAAGTGCCCTGTTTTATCCAAAATAATGAAGTACCCAAGAGGTATCCAGTAGTGCATTTTGATTCCAATGACTAAGAGAGGGACCAGTTAGCTTGGAACATGTTTTCATACAGGCCAGCAGTTTTAAACTTCTGCTTCATCAGCCTGACTCTCCTTCACTTGCACTTTGAAATCTCTTCATTGGGAATCGGGTCTTTATGAGACCAGCTCTACTGGAGACCCGAAGCTCATCAGTCACTCCAAATTTGACCCATAGGCCCAAGGTCAATAGCCCTAACCCAGCTGGCCCCAATAGGGCCTGAAGGGAATGGCCACATAGGAAACAGTGTAAACTTGCAGGCAAGACGGCAATGAAAATGGGTGCTTGGCTTCCAAACAAGATGCATCATTTTATTTTTATGGAAAACCTTTCCTTGGTAAAATTAAAAGTGTTTTCACAAGCATGATCTCATTCTCACAGTAGCCATGTGAAAGAGGAAATGGAGGAGATGTTTTAATTCCCATTTTATAAAAGAATAAATTGAGAGAGGGAGAGATCAAGTGACTCTTCTCCCAATTCTCCCTCTTAAATAGGCCAACGGGGCTTGAGCTAGAGCCAGTTCTCCTAATGACGTCTCTTTCTGTGCTCTGAAGCCCAGTCTATCCCAGGACTTGGCATGGCACCATCAGATGGCATGTACCAGGTGGCTCATGTTTTTATTTCACAACATGTCAATGACATCCATACAGCACAGTCTATAAATATCCCACCCAATTAGTTCTATCTGAACAGGCAAATGTTTGCTTACAAATCCATCTACAACAATTGTGGTATGACACAATGTCTAGGCATCTATACACATTTTTTTAAGTCAGCAGTTGAGTACTGTCAAGTTGTTAGTTTTATCCTGTGATAACTGACCACTCATCTTTTACATTCAGAAAGCTTCTGCACAGCTCTCTAAAGATATCACTTTATCACTGCTTGCTTGACTTGAAAAATTGCTCTGAGTGGAAAATATCCATAAATTTTAAAAGCAGTCTTACACTGCTTTTAAACCACAAATAGTTCTCATTCTGTTTCTAAATAGCAAGATCACATTAAAACTCAAAAATAGATAACATTAATCACTATAATTCAAATAACCACTCTCTAGACCTGGCAGGGAACCTGGAGAGCTTAGTTCTTTTTTCCTATGAATTTCTGGCATAGCATGCTTGGGGAGTGGGGAGTTTGTTAACAGTGTTTAAAATTAGGGAAAGCCTTAGAGGAAAGTGACATTTGTTACCTTCCTGTCTTTTATCTACCCACTCAGAAACCCATCCTCAGCCTAGATTATGATTGGGGTGGGAATATCTTGGTGGGACTGTCCTGATTTTTATAGAAGGATATAACCAAGGACAGATAATAATTACTGAAATAGCAGTCATCCTTTGCATAACAATTTGCAGCTTACAAACCCTGTCACCTGCATGATCTCATTTGTTATTTCCCATAGAACAATAAGTTGCTATTATTATTCCTCATTACTTGTGAAAAATGTGAGTCACAAAGGAGTTAAGTTTTGAAAGTCACACAGCTAGAAAGTGATGAAGCTGGCAACTGGACCAAAGTCTTCTGACACCCTGTCCCATGTAATGTCAGCTATACCATGCAGCCTCCCAAACCTACCAAAAATGTTGGATCAAAAGAATGGAGGTGGGCAGAAAAGTAGTCAGTGTGTTGTTAAAAAATGTAAAGGACTAAGCAAATAGGAAAAAATGAGGAAATGAGATGTACTAAAGAGGAAACCCAAATGGCCAATAAACATATGAAAAGATGCTCACCCTCACTAGCAATCTTGGAAATGCAAATTAAAACCATGATCACACCCATTAGATCGATGAAAATTAAGTCTGAGAATGCCAAGTATTATATTAGATAGGGAGCAATGAAAATTCTGATATACTAGAAATAGGGGTGTAAATCAATTTGACCTATTTTGTCAGTCATTTGCCATGACATAACAAAGTTGAAGAAGCAGGTGGTCCCGGCCCAGCAATTCAATGCCAAGGTCCATACCTCAGAAAAACTCCACCATAAGTGCACAAGGGCCATGGAAAGAGGTTATTAGTAGAATTATCTCTAGTAGCCAAAAATTCACAAGAACCCAAACATCCAATAACACAAGAATGGACAAATATTAATAAAGTAGTGATGTAGCCATCCAACAGATACTCTATTGCAAGGAAAATTAGTGAACTAGAGGTAAAAGTATCAAATAGATAAATATCACAAATACATTTGGAAGGAAATTACAGAAGATTAATAGGTATACCATTTACAATGATTTTAAAATGTGCAAAACCGTATTTGGGGGGATATTATTATTTAGGGATTAAATTTTACTTAGGAACATTATTTACAGGTACCTGGATATGTCATAAAAGCATAAAGTGCATGTGAATAAAGCAGGACAGTGATTATGTTTGGAGAGGGCAGTAAGTGGGAGGGCGGTGCCACCTGGAGGACCACAGCTAATATGTTCAATGTTCTCATCATTGAGTTGGATGGTCATACACCGTATTTATTCTTCTCTCAACCTTGTAATGTGTAAAATAGATGATCCTAACTTTAAAAATAGAAGAGGCAGGAAGAGAAGAAAAGAGTTTGTCTGGATCAGATACTTCTCTGGGACTCTGGGATGACCAGACCAGTTGAAAATGATGCCAAAGAGTCCCCATTTGCCCTGGTCCAATGGCGAATCATAGTAGCAGAGAAAGGATGCTCATCCCAACTCAGCCCTAAGTCCTGCTCCAAAACCCCCACCATTACACCAACACCCTTTCTGATACACATAATTGAAGTGTGAAGTTCCATCTACCCAATCACGGAGTCTGTGACATTTTCTAGAATCACACTTAAGCTGAATCCCAGAAAATGTTTGTTTGACTTTTCTCTTTATATCTTTAGCACTTTCAAGCAGGTCTCTAGCATTTGGGAAGAGCAAGTGTTAACTGAGTCTATGTTGTTGAGAGTATTTTACTCCGGAATGTTTTATTCATAGAATTATTTATTTTAGAATGCATAAAGTGGAGTAACCATTTTATATCAGACACCTAAGAAAAGCTAGAGAAGTATTTAACTCTGGAAATTCAACTCTGTTTTTACATTTTTGATGTTTGCAATTTTGATGGGCAAGGATGTCTCAGTATGAAATCCCTAGCCATTTACACTACCCATTTCAGAATTATCCTGATAAATTAATACCTGCTGAGTTACTCATTTGACAGTCTGTGAAAACATGTCTTTTTATCCCTCATGTATTCCTCAGCATAGTCAGGCACAATCTCAATTTACAAGCATAACTCTCAAATATTATGGTTTGTGAGAATAAAAAGATCAACCCATAATAGGGCAGTTCTCTAAAACTAAAATTGTTATTCATACATAATTGAAATTTTTGAACAATTATCTCAAACAAGCGTGTTTTTTCTGTATCTTAAGGAGGAAATATTGTTTTTCAGAATTTTTATTTTATAATGAATAGTTAACATTCAGGGCGTTTTTAATATCATAAAGTTAACATCTAACCAGTGGACATCTGTAACTCTATGATAATTCATTGGGGAGAGAAGACAAATGGCTTTTTTAAAAAGATCTACAGAAATATTAATTAATCTAAGATCAGAGGATGAGTCTATGGCAGCCTTCTATTGAAAGCCAAGGTCCCAAATCCCCTCCAACTTATTTTAGCAATAGTAATATTAATAGTGGTCCACATTTATTGGGCACTCACCATGTGTCAGGCACAATGCCAAACACTTTTCCGGCATTATCTTATTTAATCCTCACAACAACTTTACAAATGAGGAACTGTGCCTCAAAGCAGGTGCGTCACTAGCCCAATATCATGTATCTGCTAAGGAGTAGAGTCAAGATCCGGACCCAGATCCCTGATCCCAGAACCAGTGCTCTTGACCTTTGCTTGTGTATACACAGAACCTTTGTAATTACAGCTTGCTATAGATGGAGAAAATAAATGGGCAAAATCTTTCCTCTTCCATAAAAAAGAAAAGTAGCAGTTGACTCAGTCAAGTTATTATACCAAAAAAACCCATATACCGGGGCTTTCTTTTTCATCTAAAACTTATGACCACTACTTCTCAATAGTTTGAAATTCTATTAACTGAATTGCACTGAAGATGGAAATGAAGATGAAAAAGAAGCATAGAATGTGTGCTTCCTCAATGTACAAATGCTTCTAAACTTTTCTTTCTGAACACAAAGCTGTTTCTGAACTCCAAGAATAAACACATAGCATTTTTTTTCATCATTTGATCATTGTATTTGTTGGCAGACCTGTTGGTAACCTTGAGTCACCTGCAGTGAATTTAAATATTCTTCTAATTGGTTTTCTCACAGCTTACTGAGAAACAGAGTGCCTCTTTTACTAGTCTCATAAATAATTCCATTTCTCTATGTCAACTTTAATTGAACTTACCTCATGTTGTCAATCTCTTTCCTTTTTCCTTGCAGGTGATGTCATTGTCTATATTAATGAAGTTTGTGTCCTTGGACATACTCATGCAGATGTAGTCAAACTTTTCCAGTCTGTTCCTATTGGTCAGAGCGTCAACCTGGTGTTGTGTCGTGGCTACCCTTTGCCCTTTGATCCTGAAGATCCTGCTAACAGCATGGTGCCACCCCTTGCAATAATGGAGAGGCCACCTCCAGTGATGGTCAATGGAAGACATAACTATGAAACATATTTGGAATACATTTCTCGGACCTCACAGTCAGTTCCAGATATAACAGATCGGCCGCCTCATTCTTTGCACTCAATGCCAGCTGATGGTCAACTAGATGGCACGTATCCACCACCCGTCCATGACGACAATGTGTCTATGGCTTCATCGGGGGCCACCCAAGCTGAACTTATGACCTTAACCATTGTGAAAGGTGCCCAGGGCTTTGGCTTCACTATTGCTGACAGTCCTACAGGACAGCGGGTGAAACAAATACTTGACATTCAGGGATGCCCTGGCCTGTGTGAAGGCGACCTCATTGTTGAGATCAACCAGCAGAATGTACAGAACCTGAGCCATACAGAAGTAGTGGATATACTTAAGGACTGTCCCATTGGAAGTGAGACTTCTTTGATTATCCATCGAGGAGGTAAGAGAAACACTACTCAGTAATAAAATATGCAGGTAAAATAATAGGACCTTTACAATACTATCATAAAAATGGAAGTTTTCCTCGAGTTGAATGAAATCATACTTCAAAAAATAGAAGTCAAAGAATAGGAGAGAAAAACAAGAGTTAAAAAATAAAAGTCAAAGAATAGGAGAGAAAAACAAGAGTCCAGGAAGCGATGGGTTGTTTTTTTTTAATTTTGAGAATATATATTTTCTTCCAATTTTATATTAAACACAATAAAAGTAGTGCTTTCTGTCTCACAAATGTATCTTAGTATGAACTTGGAGGGTAAAGCCTGAATCCCCAAATATGAGTGGTTTATATTCCAAAAGTTCTTAATATTATCAGTTGTAGAGATCTCAAACTAGTTTCCCATTGACTTAATTAAGAAATCTGGTTCTTCCAATCGAGTCAATGCTCTGCACTGTGCTTAGGATTCTAGCTAGCAGGTGGAAGCTGGTTCAACCCAGTCCAAGTTCAAATATAGTCTTCATAATCCCCATCAGGACATTTGGGAACTGGTTGTCGCAGAAAAATCTTTTTCGAGTCATGAATTGGGATGCTTAGGAAACTTCTTCCACTACAAATGTACTCCTCCAGCAATAATTATTCATGGTGCCTTCCATGACCTGGGCAGGAAGTTACAGAACACGGTTAGGGCTGAAGTTCTAAGCTGGGTGTTCTAGGTGAACTATGGAAATCGGAGCAGTGAGGAGGGTGGTAGGAACTCTGAGCCCTGGGGGTTTCCTCCCTTCTACCTTCTGGGGAAGGGAATGGGGCTAAGAGGAAGGCCCCTCCTTCATTCCTCTGCTACTTTGCTCTTAACTATCAGTGACACTAGGGAGAGAAAGGAGGGAAGGGCCACAGATTGGAAGGATACTTGAAAACAGAGTATAAAGGAAAAGGCTCAGGCTAAGTCCTGGTTTTCTGCTTACCGGTTCTGGGACTTGGGACACTTAAAGTCCAGGAGCCTCAGAAGCCTCGGCTGTTATATTGGGATGATAATACTCCCTAACGTGGTGGTCATGGTTCTTCATATCGAATGGCCCACCATCGGTGTTCATGAAATGTGTGTTGAGAGTAAAGGAACGCTGAAGCTACAGCAAGGGTGGGGCAGAAGGAGCAGCTCTTCAAGGAACTCATGCGTGAAGAACACAGTGTGGCCAACATATGTGATTGTCTATTCAGAGCACTAAAAACAGCAGGAGAGCCCTGTTGGTTTGAAATGCAAAGGAAGGCAGTCAAAGCTTGAAAGAAGCACCTTTTATGATTTATTTGGCACTCACTGCAGGTATTTCCACTTCAAGGAAGTATTTACATTATTGATTCCTTGTGTGAAAATGGACACCAAATACTAGGCATTTTTTGAGCAACACTGTACAAAGTATTATGTTCCTATATTAAAAAGGGAAATTATGATAGCAGAAGTCTTAAATTTGACCTTCTTAAGGCGTTGTTACAAAATAGCACTTGAATCTTTACAATTAAATATTGACAGTGTGTTTTAATTTCTCCCATTGCTTGTGTAAGATTAAAACAAATACTCTTAATTAAAGCCATATCTTCATAGCATGCAATTGAAAAGCAAATCTTTGTAACAGGTTCTTGATATTAAAAGGTATACTGAAAATTACTGTGCAGTATAGCCACTCTCTGATTCATAGAAACGAGTTTGTATACACATCCTATATAATGACTTTTTTAAAAAAGTCATGGCATATGGGGCGCCTGGGTGGCTAAGTGGTTGGGCGTCTGCCTTCGGCTCAGGTCATGATCCCAGGGTCCTGGGATCAAGCCCCGTGTCGGGCTCCCTGCTCATCGGGGAGCCTGCTTCTCCCTCTCCCCTCTGCTCATGCTCTCTCTCTCAAATAAATAAATAAAATCTTTTAAAAATTTTTAAAAATAAAAGGCATGGCATAGCAGGAAAAAGTATTTTGAAATCACCGATGTATATATAAACGCCCACTATCAGCTAGACCACCCTATTCTTGCTCTTTTTTTTCCCCTCTCTATTTTTCCCACCTCTCCTTTAATCCTCCAGGATGTTACATTTTGTTTGCATTTTGCTTGTGTTTGGGGGTAAGGAATTGGTTTTTATTTTGTGGCTAGTGTAGACCTGCAGAATGTAGTACCCTGTAATAAAGTACTTCTAGTCAAAAACCTCTTGTGTTTCCCCAGATTCCCACAATTTGCACTCATCTCTCTGAAATTATAAGGAACTAATACCATGTTTTTGTGATGAAATTTTTCATAATTGTTTTGGCTTTTATAGATTCTTTCCATTTTCATATAAATTTTGGAGTCATCTTTTGCTTTCTCTTATTATAGGCTACTCAAAATTGCTCATAGCCTCATTCAGATACGTCCAGACCTTCAAGAGCAGAGTCATAGGCCTGGGTCCTTCTATCAGAATTGTGGTTCTTGTTTGTTTTAATTATTTACTAGGATTTTTAATTTTTAAAGCAATACTATACATGGTTTAATTTTTTTAAACAGTGTGAGAGGGTATGCAATGGAAAAATAATTCTCTTTCCTGTCCCAGACTTCAATCCTTTTTTCAGAGGCAAACATGTTTTTTGAATATATACTCCCAGAAATATTGGGGTCTTAACTAGCACATGCATGAATATACGTAGTATGTTTACTATAAATGATATGATATTATACATACATATGTCTTACTCTAAATATCTTGGTTATTAGGGTATATTTCATTTTTAACACACACCATTTTGGAGTAATTTACATAACATAAAATTCACCCACTTAAAATTTATACATCAATAAGTTTCACTAAAATGATATTTTTGTGTAACAGTCACCATAATCCTTAGAACATCCATCATCTCAAGTTCCCTCGGCCCCAGAAAATCACTAATATGCTTTCTGGATAGTTTTGCCTTTCTGGAAATTTTTTATAAATGGAATCATACAGGAACACCTGGGCGGCACAGTAGGTTAAGCGCTGGACTATTGGCTTCTGCTCAGGTGGTGACCTCATCATGGTCGTGAGATCAACTCTGCATTGGACTCCATGCTCAACTCGGAGTCTGCTTGAGATTCTTTCTCTCCCTCTGCCCCTCCCGCTTGTGCTCTCTCTCTCTGAAATAAATAAATCTTTAACTAAGTCAGTCAATCAATCGATCAATCAATCAATGGAATCATACAATATATAGTCTTTTACATAACAGAATGCTCCTGTGATTCACCCATGCTGGTGCATGTGTGAGTAGTTTATTTCTTTTTATCACTGAGTAGTTAGTATTCCATTGTATGGATCTACCACTTTTTAAAATCCATTCACAAATGGATGGACATTAGCGTTGTTTTCAGGTTTTGACATTCATAAATAATGTGGCTGTGAACACTCGGATGTAAATGTTTGTATGTGCGTATGTTTTCATTTTTCTTGATGAGATACCTAGGAGTGATACTGCTGGGTTATATGACAAATATATATATAAATTGTTAAGAAATTGCCAGAATGTTTTCCAAAATGACTATACCATTTTACATTCCCCACTAGTAATGTATGAGGTTTCCAGTTTCTGCCCATTGTTGCCCTTAGTTGGTATAGTCAGTCTTTTTGATTACAGTCATTCTAGTGTCTGTATAATGATGCCTTTTTTGTCATTTGAATTTACATTTCTCCATTTTTTTATGTGTTTACAACATTCTGATGTGTTTATTAGCATTCATATATCTTCTTTGATGGCATGACTACTCAATATTTTGCCCATCTGAATATTTATTGGGCTAATTATCTTCTTATTACATTGTATAAATTCTTTATGTATTCTGATTACATGTCTTTCATAAGATACATGGTTTGCAAATATTTTCTCCCGTCTGTGGCTTGTCTTTTCATTTTCTTAATGGTTCCTTTTGAAGCACGGAAGATTTTAATTTTGATGAAGTCCAATTTATCAGTGTTTTCTTATGTGAATTATTATTTTGGTGTTTTATCTATGAAATCTCTGCCTGACCCGAGGTCACAAACTTTTTCTTGCTTTCTTTTAGAAGTTGTATAATTTTAGCTCCTGCATTTAGATCTATATTTTAAGGTCTGTGGATAGTGTGAGGTAAGGGTCTAATGTATTTTGTTGTATATGGAATTTAATTGTTCTAGAACCATTTATTGAAAAAAAACTATCCTTTCCTCTTGGATTGCCTTGTGGCACTTCAATGTTTTTTTAACTAGCATGAATGTGAGTGTTTATTTCTAGACTCTGTTCTGTTCCAGTGATCTATATGTTTATCCTTATGATAATGCCATACTTTTTAGATTACTTTAGCTTTATATCAAGTCTTGAAATCAGGTAGTGTGAATCCTCTAACTCTTGTCTCCTTTTTCACAATTATCTTGGCTATTCTAGATTCTTCCCACTTTCATACAAATTTTGGGATCATCCTTTTTATTTTACTTATCTTAAATAAAAGGACTGTGGAGATTATGGTGTTGCTCCAAGTATGTAGAACAATTTGTGAAGAATTTCCAAGCTAACACCGAATCTCTTGATTCATAAATATGGTATATCTCTTCATTTATTTAATCTCCTTTAATTCCTTTCAGCAGTGGTTCGTAGTTTTCAATGCACAGCTCTAATACTTCTTCTGTTACACTTATTCCTAGCTATTTTATTGTTTTTGACATTGTTGGGAATGGAGTTATTTTCTTAATGTCATTTTCAGATTGTCATTTGCTAATGCATAGAAATACATTTGATTTTGTTTTGATCTCATACATTGCAATCCTGTTATACTCACTTCTGGGTTTTTTTATAAATTTCATAAGATTGTCTACATAGATTATTATGTTGTCTGATGGTACAGTTTTATTTCCTCTCTTCCAATTTGTATGCCTTTGATTTCTTTACCTTGCCTTATAACACTAGCTAGAAACTCAACTATGATGTTTCATGGACGTGATTATGAGCAGACATCCTTGACTCATTGTCAGTTTCAGGGGGAAAGCA